ACGCCGGGAGGGGGCGGGCGTCGTCCGCCCGGGAGGCTGCAGACCCCGGCTCCCGCGAGCGCCGCGCCGGGCTTCGCTGTTCCACGCGGCTCCAGCGGGGATGGAGGACTCGGTGGCAGCGGCTGCTGCGGCGGCGACGGAGGAGCGGCTTTGAGGAGGGGACAGCGGGATTAGAGGTGTGAGGAGGGCTTGGAGTGGGCTAGCGGAGGGGCCGGGGCTCGGGGCCGGGCTGGGGGGTCTAACGGCAACGTTTGGGTGACAGGGACCGCGGCTGGCAACGCCTGTCTCTGCGGAGAGAGGCAGGGGTCTGCACTCGGTGCGTGAGGAGAGGAGGCTTGGGCCGGCTGCTCCTGATGGGGGAGGGAGGCACCGCACCCCGCACTGTCCGCTGGCCCGGCTGGTCATTGCTTCAAGCCCAGGCAGGAGTTTCCATTCCCCTCCTCCTGGCAGCCAAGGTGAAGGGGAAGCAAAGTGGCCTGGAACTGGGACCTTGCCCTCCCTCTGCCGAGAGATTTCCCTCCACTCCTAGTTCTCCATCCATTTCCCTCTCCTACTGAGCCAGCGTTTCTCCCTGCGCCCCAGCGTGTTCAAAGCACATATTCTGAGACTCGAGCCTATTAATTGTCGGCTGAAAAATAAAGTTTATTTAAAAATACTCCACTCCTCCCTCTGACTGGTGGTGGACATTGCTCAGCATCCCCGACTTTCCCGCCCTGTTCTCCCTTCTGTGATGCTAGGTAGGGAAGGCTGGGCCCAGCTGGGCTGGCGTCTCTCAATGGTTGGTGCTGACAACCTGGTATATCGCCTGTCCTTGGTGCGATTTGTCATTTCTTCTCGGTATCTGGCATCCTTGATGTCCCTGGCTGTTGAGGCCGATGTTTTGTTTCATTGTTTGAGAAACATGCAGATAGCAGAGGTTGTTGCCGTCTTATCTAACACTTCTTATGCTGCTGTCCTCATGTTCTTTCTCTTTTTTGTCTCTGTTTTGCTTCGCAGTTCTCCAGAATACGCGTCATATAGGTGGAGTGGTGATGTCTTCCTGAGGGAACCTCCTCTCGGTCCTCGGGTCATGCATAGCAACTGTTCTTGACTGGGCCATTCATCGAAAACAGGATTTACCCTGTGAAACAGGGAGAAGACTTAATGGACTCCAAGCATCATTTCAAGTTTTAGGTTTTTTTTTTTTTTTGAAAGTACAGACATACATGCAAAGCTCTTGGGTGTTGGGCCCTCTGCTTTATTAAGACCGCTGTGTCGCTAATCCAAGATTGTTCCAGTCTTTTGACCTATCACCATGGCTTCAGTTTGGAAGAGACTGCAGCGAGTGGGAAAACATGCCTCCAAGTTCCAGTTTGTGGCCTCCTACCAGGAGCTGATGGTTGAGTGTACAAAGAAATGGTAAGATGTGCTGGGGGTAGAGATTGATGTCTGCTTGCCCAAATACTCTGTGCCTTGAACTTTGGCTCTCTTGGTAGCAGATTTACCTTTCAGCGATACACAGTGGGCAGGGAGCTGCTGACTCTCAACAAGTACTGTGCGTGTGCTGTTGCTGCTGGTACTGTCCCTGTGGGTTTTAATTACTCTGTTTCACAATATCTCAGAGGACCACACCTGAGAGCACACCTGAGTACCGTAGTTTGAGTCTTAGGCCCATTTATCATCAGTGTAAGACTAACTTTATTTTTGTAACTTTAAATGAAGAATGGTTATGCATATGTTTTTAATGTAACGTAGATCTTAATTTCGAGGTTTATATTCTACAGACCGGTGGTGTTATTTTGTTATTTTTTTCATTTGTATTTAGAGAATTTTTTTTTCACTGTTTGAATAATGGAATGCCAGTCTACACAACCTTAAAAATTCTTTTGTGAAATGCTTAGTCAGGCAACTGTATTTTCTTCTAATTGCCTAATGGGATACATTTCTTGGCAGGATTTAAGGAAGCAATTAGTAGCAGTGGTCTATGATTTGCCTCTTTCCATTTGAGCAAAGTAAATTTAGGGCTTTCTTTTACTGCTGTGAATGATAAGAAACAAGAATTCTTAGCGAGGGGGAAAAAAGTTAATCTTAAGCAAATGGTCCTTTGAGTTTTGATTTATTATAGCTATTAAGCACTATTACCACAGAATAAGTCCATCTCGCCAAGGACTGTGATCTCCCGTTGGTAATGAGCTTTCTTTCGAGCACTCTTGTCTTTGCTGAAGAAAATAGCTTGTTTCCTCCTAGCAGTCTTGGTCTGGTCTCGAGTTTGTTAGGAGCATCATTTAAAATCAGCTCAAGAAGTACATGCAGCGGCTAGGTAGTTTATGCCAGGTGCTGTTGGTCCCCTGTCCTCAGGGAGCTTACAGGGCGGAAAAAGAATTTGCTGTGATAGGTACAGTAATGTAAGTATGTTCTAGGGATTTTCGTCTGTTTCACCCAGTTGGATAGGCTAGGGGTGTTACTTCTCTGTAATTCAATTCCCATGTACACACTAGTCATGGTGCCACGTTATAGATGGTTAAATCATTTAATTCTGTCAAATGATTAGAACAGTGGCAGGGACATAGTAAATACCCATTAAATGTCAGTGTTTTCTTTAGAGTTCACAGAGCAGAGAACAGTAATGCTAATAAGGGTAAGGGGTGACGTCTTTTGTGGCTTTCCTGAGGTATAAGCTGAGTTTTATTATTTTTTGGCTAATTTATTTATTTATTTTTAAATTTTTATTAGGGTAGTTTAGCCAGCCAGTAAGCCTTACGGATCGTCTGTCTCAACCTCCCCATCACCAGTGTCACAAACAATATGTCACTGAGCCTGACTTTTTACATGGGTTCTGGGGAGTGAATTCAAGGTCTCACTCTTGTGTGCAAGCACTTCAGTAACTAAGACGCCCCCCCCCCCCCCGGCCCAGGCTGAATCTCAGAGATGCATAGTAGTTGTACAGCAAGCCAGAGAAGGAGAAGAGAAGAACATTAGAAATTCTCTACGTTTAGACAACCAGGATACATGCTGGGAATTCAAGTAGTAAGGCTTGATATTATGAGACTTTAAGTGTACCATGACGGCTGGGTGACTGCTTCACACCTTTCATTATAAAGTAGGCTGAGGCAGGAGGATATGGAGTTGGAGGCCAGTTTGGGGTATAAATTCCAACTCTGAGGGGTTTGCAGTGTGATAGGTCATTTGAAAGCCTATAAGGTCTCAAATCTTAGAAAGCCATGTGTTGATATAAACAGCTTGGGCTCTAGAGCATCAGTGACGGTCACTGGAAGTTTTGAGATGGAGAAACATTTAGGTGTGTAATTGGACAATGACCAGGACCGTGGTGTGGAGTAAGGATCCTAGACGAAAGTGGGGGTGACTGAGGCAGCGATGTCAGGGTGGCTGTTGCAGGAGGGTCAGGTGAAGAAAGGGGTGGAGTCTACCTAGTGGCCGAGGGCGCAGAGAGAGTTGGCTGGAAGAGACTTAGGGGCCACTCCACTTGAGCAACAGGGAAGAACGGTGCAAGGGAGAAAGGAAAGTTTGGTTGGCACTAGGCTTCGGCCTGTAAAGGCAGGGACCCTACTCATGAGGAAGGCGGTCCTTGGATCTGATTCTTAACTTGGTAGTATCCTGGGAACATCTGCTTTGAATCTAATTTGACCACTGTAAGACCAGGCTGACTTCAAACTCACAGAGATTACTCAGCCCCTGCCTGTTAGTTCTAGGATTATAGGTGTGAGTCCCCATACTTGACTTGAATTTCATTTCTTTTTGTTGTTTTGTTTTAGTGTAAATCGCTTCCCCCCCTACACCGTTTGTTCTGATCATGGCTTCCCCTCCCTCTACTCCTTCCAGTTCCTCTCCACCCCTCCTCCCATCTGGACTCACATCCTGTCTAGCTTTCCTTAGAAAACAGGTATCTAAGGGTTAATAATAAAACATAAGATAAAACAAAGCCGAACAAATCGGAATAGGAGAAAACATATATAAGGAAGAGAGCCCAAGAAAAGGCCCAAGGAACAGATGCAGATGCAGAAAGACATGCAGAGACACTCCACACTTTCAGGAATCCCATAAAACACAAAATCGGAAGCCATAACAAAAATGCAAAACCTGAAGAGTAAAAAAAACAAAAAAATGATAAAAATAAATAAAATATAAGTAAAAATAAGAACTAAACAGAAAATAAAAGCCCCGATATCTGATACGACATTATGAGAGAAGGAACCTCCGAAGATGCTGTTGAGTTATTTTCTGTGGCCCATCTACTGTTGGGCTTGAAGCCTACCCTTAAGAGCAGTTTGTTCCCCAGTGAAGCTCTTTTGGAGAAAAAAAATCTTTCATTTGCAAGTGGTTATGTATTGGAGATAGGTTCTAGGTTAGGGATGGGGCGTTTATATATTTGTTCTTCCAGCTCTAGAACTCTGTCTGGTGCAGACATCTGCAGGCCCTGTGCGTACTGCCTCAGTCTCTCAGTTTAACTGAACTGAGGTAGCTGTGTTTTGAAGGCCTTGTTTCCTCGGTGTCCTGGTTTCCATCCCCTCTGGCTTTTACACTCTGCTTCCTCTTCAGCTGAGTTGCCTGAGGCCTGAGGGGAGGAATTGGATGGAGACTTCTTCTTCAGGGTTGAATGTCCCATTGGTCTCATTCACAGAGGAAGCTTTTCTGACGGATGGCCAAGCAAGGCACTGATCTGAGTGTGGCAGAGTTCTGTTAGGAGTCATTTTATTACTGTGCTCCTTTAGTAGACTGTAGGATTTGATTGTCCCCTAGGTCCTCATCTGTTTAGTCTCAGGGTCTTGGCACCCAAGCAGTGTTAGGTGTGGGTTCCATCTCACGGAGTGGGCCTTATATCAGGTATTGGTTGGTTACCGCAACAAGCCTTGTGCCACCATTGCACTAGAGTATCTTGCAGGCAGGACACCATTGGAGATCAAAGGCTTGTTCCTGGGGTGGTGTTTACATTTTCTTCTGTTAGTCTGCAAAATACCTTCCCATGCCAAGATTCTGGCTATTAGGGCGAAGACTCTAGATAGGCACCAGCTCCCCTTCTCCATCCTGGGAGCTGTGTAGGTGTTTTCAGCAGTAGGGCCTTGCCTTCTGTCTGTGGAGCAAACAATAGCCTGGGTTGTTTGAGGGTCCCACAAATCTCATCTCTTAACTGCATAGGATATTCATGTCATTTTTCAGTTAAAAGAAAATGAGTTTCTTGGGTTTGGTGGTATACACCTGGAATCTTAGGACTGGAAAGGTTGAGGCAGGAGGATGAGGAGTTCGGAGCAGCCTCCATTACAGAACCAACTGGAGGTCAGTATGGAGCTACCTGACACTCTGTTTCAAAAAACCAATCCAAACAAACAAACAAAATCAGCTTCTTGTGGGGCATGGTGGCTTACACCTGTAATCCGGTCACCAGGGAAGCTGGAGCAGGAGGGTCACCCTCAAGTTGGGGCTGTCTTGTTCTAGAGAATGAGACCCTTTAAAAAAAAAATTAACCCCTACTGAAAAAGTTCCTTCCTCATAATCTGTAGTAGCATCTTTTATGTTCTACCCTTGAGCAACATTTAAGTCATCATTAACACATCTTAAGTCTCTAGTGAAAATCCAGCTATATTAGTGAGTAGCTTGATTACGGCTCGGCTCGTTGTGGTCTAGCTGTCAGATCAGTCTGTGGTTAGATATGGACTTCAGCTGCAAGCATTTGAATGCTCTGTAATTTTCAGATGTGCAGTACCATACTGTGAACTCTTTCTTGCTTTCATTTAAAAACTCAGTTTAGTGACTGAGAGACAGCTCAGTGGCTACGAGCGCTTGCTACTCTTGCTGCAGAGGATGCTGGCTTGGTTCCCAGCACCCACATGGAGGCTCACAACTAGCTGTAACTCCAGCTCTAGGGCATCTATCACCTTCTGACCTTCACAGGCACCAGATACACAGGTGATGATCAGAAATGTAGACAGGCATTCATGTACATAAAGTAAAAATAAGTAAATCTTTAGTAAACATGTAGTTTAAACCTAGCAAGGTGATAGTGCCCATGGAGTGACATCTATTTGCTATATGGGAATTTTATTTGTGAGTGGATCCTTTGGTAGAACTTTAAAGTCTTTGATTATATAAGAATTGATTGTAATCAGTTTTAGTTAACATTTCTTTTGCCTTACTTTTCTTAGAGTCTTGTAAAAGTACAAATCAGGCCCAATTTCTAAACTTGTATCCTGTAGTCTTTTTCTTTTTCATTTCTTTCATTATTTAAATACTTGCCAGAACTCAAATTATTTTATGTGTGTACTGAATTTAAAATCTGTTTAAAGCGTATAAAAATAGACTTGAACACACAGCGAGAACATTTTCATTAGCCATGTTTACGTTTTATTTATTATTTATTCGTTTATTTATTTTTGCAGTGCTGGGGATTAAACTCTGGGCCTTCT